AAAAATAAAAATGAAAAGCGTAAGCGTACGTACAGACCCCAGGATAGAGACCATTTCTATGAACGAAGCACTGGTGCCTCTCCGCAGAGGGATTCAGAGTTTTTCGTTTCTGGAAAGAACCGCGAATCACAAGACCATGAGCCCACAGTTCAGGGTCAAGTAAGTTCACATCTACAGGTGGGTTGATCAGGTCAAGGCGATACGATTCGTAGCTGTCGAAGCGTGTCGGCAGCTTTTTGCCGTCACCGATTCCGCACCTGACTGCTGTTGGAGTAAGAGGTGACGGAATCCACGCCTGTGCCGGTGGCAGCCGAGACATAAACATGGAAGAAAGCGCCTAACGCTGCCACGGCCTTTATCGGTCCTGCCTTCTTTGCCCGATCACAGCAGGAGACTTACCAGGAAGGGAGGTCTTCACACTAGCCGTCACCTCAGGACCAGCGACGGCACACCTGTAGCGCCACCTGCTGGAGCAGAAGGCTGCGGTTTCCGAGCTGGGGGAGTACCTCTTTTCGAACGGTTCGCAACTGTCCATTCACCCCCCTGAGGGCGAGAGGCTGCACCTTGAGCGACTTCGGCATACGTCTTGTCACTCAACACGTGCGAAGAGTGCTCAGCCAGATCGCGAGCCTGTCCAGGAGAAGCAGATGCATGCATTGCAACCTCTTCAACGCGCTTAGACGTATCCGCTGTAGCTTTCAGTACATCTTGGATCATCTCTTTCATTGAAGACAGTTCGACCTCCATCAGCTGCTGTTTCCGCATCAGCGAGCTTACGTCGATGCAGTCCACAGCAATCGGAGGAAGCTTTGACAGATCCATGGCGACGAACTTGGGAAGACTAGCTCTGTCACATTCGAGCAGCATTTTAGCAATCCCATCAATGTACATCTTCTTCTTATTTTGTCCACGACGAATACCAATTCTCAGTCCTTCATCGACATGATCGCATAGTAGGCATTTAGCGGCCTCGACTTCGTCATCAGTAAAGCTGTCACTCACCAGCTTAGAGATCACATCCAGAGGTAATTAGATCGAGTAGGACTTTCATTGGGCTGTGGCACATCGATGTCCTCTGATTTTGTGTCTACCAAGGCATTCTGTAAGAAACGGGGATTATTTACCTTCATTTAGTGGAATAAAAAACGTGGATTTTCATGTCTAAGTCAATTAAAAAATCCATCATGACGGGGCATGGAAGACGATGATGTAGGCCGAGGATAGCGTTCAATGATTTAGGAAGTGACGTTTTATGACGTTTTATTACGTCATACTACAGCGTGAGTAGCTACGTAGCCCACTCCCAGCTGAAGAAAAGTTGTTACACGAGTTTGCATTATAAATTGGTGAAGTGTCTTCACTTGTTATTTATTACACTATGGTAAAGCTTCATTTGGGCTAGGTATGCCAATACGTGCCAGTCAGTCATCGCTATCCCCACCTCTCACCGCTGAATGTTTTCCGACTGCGCCTGAAGCTAGTTTCCCGTCTTTCTTGGTGAATCTGAGCGAACTGTCATTCCCACAACTGTCACAGTCGCACACAAACACCCACCAGCAAGCTGGCCTAGACCTGTCAGCGGACCGTTGTCACGCTGGTGTCGGTGTCCCGGTCCCCCCCCCCCCGCTGCACAGTTGGTCGGCCGCCCGGTCACCCCCGAGGCGGTGGTCGCTGGCAGTGTGTGTCGGGCGGCGGCCGGTGGGACACGCCACCGGGACTACGGGACGGGGCGCCATGCCGCTGCGCCAGCTGCTCGTGACCGGCGCGGTGCCCGTGAGCGACGAGCTGGAGGGAGACGCGCTGCGCTGGCCGTTCGTCCACCAGCTACTCCGCTGGGACAACATTGTCAGCACCGTGTTCGGACACCTGCGGACGGCGGCTGATGATGCCACCGACAGCAGGACCGGCGGCAAGGCTGGCGGTGAGTGGTGGACAGCGCCAGCCCGCGTTCAACGATCGGCTGATTTTGTGTTCATTCCTGGTTCAGGATGAGTTGAACGTTACATATCCGGAGTTTTGATTTTCAAGACCGGAGATAAATCAGGACATTTTTGCCTCTTCCTTACATCAAGGAACAAAATCAACTGCCTCATTTAAACGAATGAGGCATTTTTTTAATGATAGGTATCGAATTTACTGCATCGGTGTGGAAGTGTATTTAAACGTTTTTTGCCCGTATACGAGATACGAGGCAAAGTTTTACTTTTTATAATTGCGAAAATTATGTGTGTGATGACCTATGTTGACCCAGATGTGACCTATAGTGACCTGACCTAGACGGAGGGATAAAAACGTGCTGTAGGTATCTCGATTGGTTATACGATTAAACGGCCACCACAGCTTTGGATAAATCCATTTGATTAAAATAGTCGCTTTAAAGCCAAATTTGATAGCTTTTATGTTTTGAAAGAACTTGTGCTTTAGTAAAACAGTAACAATAATTGACAGTGACTATGTTAAACAGTATAAAACAGTGACCATATTAAAGGTAAACCATTCAAATTGAGGCAATCGTTTCCATTGCTCAATGTGTCGCCTAAGGCATGTAACAATTTGAATCTGCAATCAACATCACCACACACACACAGACTTCTCAAGCCTCAATACAAATAGAGAAATATCTGCCTTTTTTAGCGAAGTGTGTGCCTCACGATTCACATTACGGTTCTATTTTCAGATCCCGCCGTGAAGATTTCGGAGGATGCTCCCCGACCGATGTCGCGTCCCGTCAGGAAGTTCTCCGAGCCCCCGATCCTCCGGGCTCAGAACAGCAGTACTGACACCGAGGACGGGAAGCTGGGGTCCGTCTCCGCACACCCAGCGCTGTTCTCCAGTCTGCAGCTGCGTCTTAGTTACCTCCAGCACGTGAGGCGGCTGAGCCGGAGGGAGAACAGGGCGGCGGCGAGCGCTCCTCCGCCGGCGCCGGTGCCGAGCCGGCGGGTCAGCGCCCCGTGCCGGCCCAGCGCGCTGGCAGCCCGCCTCAGGAAGATATCCGTGACCGACACGCTGCGCCAGGTCGGCAAGGACCTGCGCCGCATCGCAGACCACCTCCAGCTCAGCAAACTTGTGGTGAGTTGCACCGCAAACTGGCGCTGGCCTGCCGAAATGTTACCCTCATACATCCTGGGTCTATGTTCAGTAGTTTTGACTGCGAAATTATATCAAATATATTTTGTTCAGTTTACATTAGACTTCTGTGGCGATGTCATTTTTGTATTTCCGCACGATCCAATTGACCAAAACACCGTTTTGGTCGAAATCTGTGTTGCCGCACTGCAAAAAGTCAGCCCGCGAGCCAATCATTTTCACACAGTGTCGATGCCAATAGCGAGCTTTATGTGTCATCGGGACAACAGGCGACCTTGTTCCTCGCCCTGTCCCGTCCCCATGCTCCTTGGTGCCAACCAACGTGACAGCACGGGTCGCCCAGTAAAAACGCCACCGACAGCTCGGTCACAGGGCCACGCGGCTCTCGTGACGACGCTGTGTTCTGGTTCATGCACTTGTCCTCGGGGGTGCTGGGGAGGGGCAGCGGACGGGCGAATCGATGGATTACGATCGAAATTCCCTGTTACGTGTGTTATGCAAAGCATCAAGCTTGTCATTGTCTCATTCAAGATACAAAAATAATACTTTAACCTAATGATATGTTGACCAGACGTTTCCTACACTGTACTTAATACCTACACTGTACTTAATGAACCACTCGTCTGACACGTAATTATCTGTGACGGCAGGGCGGACGGTCCGTGTCCGGGGCGAGCCGTGACATCAGCTGGATGTATCCTGTCGTCACCATGGGCTGTGTCCTCGTCTGTGGCATCACAGCCGTGCTGGGACGCGCCTGCCGCCACTGAGGATCTTCTCGGTGGATCGAGTGGGAAGACTTGGCTGAGCGGGACTTCTTCGACGCATCGCAGTGTCGCGAATCGTGATTTTGGCTACGCTGTGTCGCTCCCAAGACCGGTACTCGTTCAGTTACAGGGTCGTGGGAAGGTATCGCTGAAATGAAGAGGCAATGTTGGTCAGCAGGTATATGATCCACGGGCCCACGGTTTTGGTGTGGGCGATTTAGTGACTCGGGTTCGATGCCCGGTACAGTTGTGAATAACTTGTGATGGTAAAGTAGAATTCCTATTTTGTCTATATTTCCATTGAAAACATTTTTTTTTGTGCTGTAACATAACTCCACGATGTCGATGTCTGGTAAGTGGTACTGGAATATCTACTACATCCTAAGCGACTACTGCATGTGCCGGGCGACAAGCTCGCACATTCTGTTCGCATTTGTAAACGGCGCGAATATACATACATGAATACTTTCACTGATAACTCGTTTTGCATGAAATCGATAGCACAGGTCTGTTGTCCGATAAATATTCCGATGCTGAATACAGCGATTGAAGCGTTCAGTTCAATGGTCACCAGCCAGAAAAGATCTAGTGACCAATGTGCGAGCGCGCCCATCCATGCATCACCGCGTCGATGCTAAATCTAAAATCATTTCTGCTACAGGTCTCAGTTAACCCGCGCCCCGCTGGGCTATTCAGCCATACGCGCCCTGCTGGGGGGGGGGGGGGCAGATTCTGCCCCCCCCTGTCTAACTTCCGAACCGATGGTCGTAGAAAGACGGGGAAAACGGCAATCGAAAGCTCTCAACAAGGCGGATCTTAAGAGCCCAAATTTTTTTGCTTAAGTAGGTCAGAGGTCAGGTCAAGGTCAGGTCAAGGGTACAAAATGCAAGTTTCTACAGTATCGGCCTTGCACCGTAGTTGCCGAAGAATGGACTGAGACTGATTGCCCAAAACGTGTTCTTAGACTACCAAGACAATATTCGTTGCACACAATGTCATTCAAAGGTCAAGGTCAGGTCAGGTCAGGTCAGGTCACCAAAAACAAAATATAGAAAAGGGCATGTGCGACACATGTTTTATGGGTCATTTTACTCATGGAATTCAATAGGCACACTCAATAAGTGATATGGACCACCTCTGGATGAATTTCAGGTCGAGGTCAGGTCAAGGTCAGGTCAAGTGAGGTCAAATTTTGAAATTGGTTGTTAAGGCCTAAAAAGGTGTCTATCCGATGCAGTTTTTCACGGCGAATCGAATGGTGCTATTTTTGTTTCTGTACGAGGTCTAGAACGTCCAAAAAAATCATTTTTCAAATTTTTTGTGTGTCGTGACGTCATAAAATTTTGAATAACTTCCACATTTTTGAACCGATTCTTCTAAAAATTGGTATGTAGGTGCACATACACCACTTCTTTGACATATATTCCGGTTTTTTCGATAAACTCAAAATTTTGGATTTTATAAATATTTTCCCAAAAAAGTCATTTTTTTGGAAAAATTTTGGCCAAAATCCAAAATTTTCAAAAAACTGAGATAGCCATTTGATAGACAAAGTAGAATCACGTATAACCTTTTTTGTTACGTCTTGATTCCTTTAAAAATGAAGATGTTAGCGGCGTTTGAAATTTTGCCGTTTTTGAGGCGAAAATGGCGAACATGACGTCACTAAAACGTCAATTTCTCAAAAAAATTTCCGACGGATTTCGCTCAAATTTTCAGGGAACGTGTCAAATTGATGTATGATAAGGTACTGAAAGTTTGACGTCGCTGGCGTAACGCGTTTAGAAGTTATTGGCGAAAAACGGGAGGGGGGGCAGATTCTGCCCCCCCCCCCAGCGGGGCGCGGGTTAATTGTCCAGCCCACTGGTGTCGTTTCATACAGACCTGGGGCCATATTCACGTCGACTTCGTAAGAGGATTTTCTTTCGAAGCATAATATGATATTCACGTCGACACTTTGTAAGTTTTTGTCGACGAAGTTCACGTGTTAAAAAAATCTTAAGAAATAGGTCATGCGTAAGAAAATTCTCACTAAAATGATCGACGTGAATACGGCCCCTGGTGGGCCCAAACCCGACCAATAATTTTGAAAGCTCAATATCAGCACAAGGACGTTGCGTGGCAAAATAATTGGGAGTCTTTCTGCGTTTTTTAGTCAACAGAGGCCACATTAAATCGGTCTTTTCCGAATATGATCACCTGATTTTTTTTTTTAGATTCATGCACATGTGATAAATGGTATACTCAGTGCCATAGTGGTTTTTGTTTCACTTTTCAAATTATGTGCACTGCTAACAAACATGCCTGCAATATGTGTAAAAAGGCTATATAACTCCTTATATAAAACACCGTAGAGGCTATGGAACTATAGGCTACATAAGTTCATGTAACAACACGGATAAGGAGTATCAACAATGTATAAGTGAGGTCAGACTGGTATTCGCGCGGCCGATAGGTAAGTATCTCGTTAACCAGCCGGACACCAGTCCGCTCCCGGTCCGGAACTAGCGCGAGCTGGACGCTGCTGTGACCGGACATGTCGCCGGGGTCACCGCACGACCCAGACCCGACCATCAGATCCAGGCCAGCGCTACTGATCCCGCTCCCATCCGGCACCGGTATCGGTCGATACACCGGCGAAGGACGCCCAACCCATCAGCGGCAGCCGCGCCGCCGAAACAGGTGCTTTTTGCCGTCATCCACTACCGGTAAGTCTTAGAATGACGGAAACGGTGTCAGTGGCAAAACAACTCGGCGGGGTTTTTGTGTCTTCGTCCAAAGCTGTTCCAGCCTTAGTTTGCCGTAGAACGACCCGCGAGAGAACACTGCTCTATGTTGACCTGCAGTCTGCAAGAAGCGTGTTCGAAATACCAATAATCGTTTATTACCTGCTGTAGCCTACCTATACATCATCATGTACATACCAAAAAAGGACGGGCACCCCCTTCCCCCTTGGCCCAAGGCCCTTTACCCTCGGAATGGACCCTCGGCCGAGGGGATTAAATATAATCAAATATCGTGCGCATTTTCGTCACTTTCCCGAACTTGTTGAGCATAAATATTTTGGTTAGGACCGTCATCGTTAAAGTGACCTTCAAAAATAAAAATAAAAATAATAATAATGATGATGAAAATAATAATAATAATAATAATAATAATAATAATAATAATAATGATAATAATAATGAATTGGCATAAAAGCGATGTCTTGTGGTTCAGAAAGATCCAAAATGAATATCTACCAAATTTCACTGAAAAAATATTCACTTATTTTCAAGATATTTTAATTTGAGTTTTACTTTTATTCGCTTTTGGGACCTCCGCTGTTCCTGCGACGTCATTTGAAAGCAATAAATTGGCATCCTAAAAGTGCGGCAGACGTTGCACGCAAAGCAGTATAAACCACGTTTTAACGATGGTTAAAAAGATTTAAAAATCATTAGATTTCCGCTGGCGTCACAAATTCTAAAGGGGCACTCAAATGCATTAGCCCCTTACAATCTGAAAACTGCAAGTTTGAAATTAAATATCTCCGAATTAAAGCAATTATCGATGTTGTCGAGCGCCCAAACTGGTAAGTGCAAGCCAGGGACCCAAATTTGGCTATCTCAACTCAAAACTATTGTTAAGGTCACTTTAATTTTTAAAGTGACCATCCCACCTTAACATTAGTTTTGAGCTGAGATAGCCAGATTGGTGGCCATGACCTGAATATACCGGTTTGGGCACTCACAACTTCGAAAAATGCTTTAATTCGAAGTTATGGAATTTCAAACTTGCAGTTTTCGGATTCTAAGGGGCTAATGCATTGGAATGGAATGCCCCCTTAGAATTTGTGACGTCTGCGGAGATCTAACTATTTTTAAATCTTTTACTAAAACGTTTGGTAGCACGCGGTGGTAGGTGCTATATGCTGCTTTGCGCGCAACAAATGCCGCACTTTCAAATAAAGTCGCTAGGAACAGCGGAGATCCCAAAAAGTAAACAAAAGTGAAAGTCTAATAGTAATATCTTGAAAACCGGTGAATATTTTTCGATGAAATTTGGCAGATATTCGTTTTCGCTCTTTCCGAACCGAGCGACATCACTTTCATGCCAATTCATTAACTTTTTTGAAGGTGGGAGGGTCCCTTTAACAACATCGCCTTTCACAGGTGAGAGTCTCGGATACTAATTATAGATATCTCACTTTTTTCTTGGGAGTGACCTACCTGGGTATAGGTATACAGGATGTCGCCTTGCCGGTAGCTATAAAAAATACAATATCAAAATAACGTGTCACGAGCACGATCACTGCATAACGTGTACCTGCTATCATAGTTTTAACCCGCGCCCCGTGGGGGGGGGGGGCGAAACGGCTCCCCCTGTCCTTTTCCGTAGATGTCTTCTAAACCACTGCAGATATCGTCACCAAACTTTCAGGACCTTCCCGGTATCGACTTTACACATTATGATCAACATTTTCCAAAGCTTATGATAGGTTGGCTGCTAATGACGCCAGAATGACGTCATGCTCTGTCATTTTCAACCTATTAAGAAAGGTTTCGCGGGAAGAAGTGTCAGGCCTGCAGCTTTAAAGATACAGAAAAAAATGTTTGAAACATAATAGCTGTGGATTTACCAGGGCTAGAAAACTACTATCTCGATTTTTTTAATATTTGGTATTCGCCCCAAAAATCCGAGTTTCAGAAAATTGGATATGTGTATTAGTCCTCACCGTTTTCCATCGGCATACCAAATTTGAGATCGATACCTACCTCTTTTTTGGCTAAGTTATGGCGAAAAAAACTCCAAAATTGATTACGTCAAACCTGATGAGCTACGAACGTGAAACTTGGCATAGCTTCAAATGAATACCTAGGCAAAGTTTGAGGAAAGTTTGGTGGTTGTAGCACTAAATTAAGATGACGTCACAGTGCGTTATAAAGTTTTGTCGTTTTCCGATATCGATCGTTCCTGATGTCGCTGAGCATGTAACTCAACTGTAAATGAACAGGAACTAGACACTAGACAGCACCTGCTGTAAGCCTAAAACATCTAAGTATACTTCCAGTTAGAGTCTGACCAACAACCGGTCCTTTATATTCGGTCTCATATCGGATATCAATCGTGAGGAAACTGAGTCTCAAATCTATAATTTGACTTCTGACGTCACTGTCATAGGCGGCGGAACGGGGAGGGCACCGGGGCACCGCGCCCCCCCCCCTTTGCTTTTGGCATTTTAACATTAGCCCTATGGGCGTTGCATGGTCCCTGGAAAGAATGGTACCAAAAAAAGTCGGCATTGCCCCCCCCCCCTTAATTGAAGGTGTTCCGCCGCTACTGGTCACTGTGACGTCACGGTCATTTCAAATGAGATCGACACCAAATTTGGACACAACCTTGGTTAGGTATTCAGGAAGGCGTGTGCAAAGTTTCGCTTCTCTATCTCTTCGCGTTGCGACGATATCGTCGCTGAAGTAAGGGGGCAA